TGTGTTTGCAAAAGTGTAGTGTGACCCCAACACAACCAAGTTGAGGTTTGAATGGATTTTCTTTGTGAGAAGTGAGCTTCATCTAAACGCGTTCAATTGCAAGTGAACCTTGAATGGAGTCTTGCTCTTAGAGGGTTCCACAATTACACAGGTCTCTTAGATTGTAATCCTTTTTTTAGTTTTACCATGGCTCTATTTTAATTTAACTGATTTTCAAAAGGCTGACTAAGGAAACTTAACTTGGGGTTATAATGCCACACATCCAGGTACTGTCACTTTGTCCCATAGGCTTTGTTTGCTAACAAGTCAAGATTATTCTATTCATTTCAGAAAATTTACTGTAATTGGATGAAATCACTAATAGTATTGGTTCTATTTTATATTCCGCAATACAACTGAATATATCTCTTGAAGGTTACACTACTGATGGATATTCAGTTTTATAGTGTGTGAAAATTTTTCTCAAACTAATTTCCACACCAGATGCTGGAGAGGGCTTTTGGGACAGAATACTGCTGCTTTGGGAACTACGTTTATAAATCCTTTTGGCCTGTTGGCTTAGAAAATGGAATTTTGAACGTCCCCAGTTTATATTAATCACACCACCTCAGTAAGTGCACAATCTGAAATGCAGTTAGTTTTCATTATTGAATGCTGCCCCATTCCAGTGGAAACCAGCAGGTGGTGCCAGACATGAAGTTAATGGAAGAGGAGAGAGACCGAGAGCTGGGTATATACAGTACAGTACTTGGAAACCACTGACAGTACCAGCTGTTAACCCATTAACAGTATATAAGGGGCTCAAGTATACAGTATCGATCAATATAATATTACGTACTTTATTTGGATTTCCAGAAACATTTAATGTCAAATGATCATTTTCCAAACTATTTGCAATTTGGAAGGCAACTTTTTGTGATTATACAGTAGTTTATTGTATAACATTTTAAAGCAAAATACAAAAAGAAAACTGGAATGTAACATTTTGCTTCCCCACAAAAACCCCCCTTTGATCTGTTTACTTTCAGTAAAACTTTTAATTTTACCATTTTAATTAAGCCATTTTTGGATTCACTCTTAAATTGTTTAAATTGGGATTGGGAGAATGAAGAGTTTTAAAACAAGTATTTTTTTAAGCAGATGAATTCAAAACCCCATTCCTTGTGGATGTAGGTCCCGTGTTCTATGTTCCTATTAGATTTTTTTATTAGGAACACCTTTTAGTAAAAGTTTTACTGAAGAGCTTAAATATCGCCCTCTATTGGGCTAACATCGGTATTATATGCAGCTATAATTGCAATTATTGATATTGCTGCTATTAATGGTGTAATACATCAAGTAAAAATTCTTGGTAATGCTTAGAAAAAAAAAACCCTTGGTGTGCTCTGAACAGCTGAAAGTATATGATTGCACCGTATTTTTTATGTGGTAATTTTAAGACATAACTGCAGGTTTAACAGAAAAGTTTTTCAAGATTAACAAATCAACCTACTAAAATCAAATTAAAGCTATACTCAGTGTCAGTATAAAATTAATTTTGCATAAACCTAAAGTTGTT